TGGTGGTACCAGCTGGGCGGCATAATCCTCGTACGTAGCACGAGAATCAGCGACTAACGCATGCTCCCCGGTAGTGACATCGATTGCTAGCAAGGCAACCGGGTCCGGCGGAGTGAGGAGAGACGTCGCCCCTCTCCTTGCGTAACTCAGTTTCCCGAGTTTGCTGGACGGGGTACGCGTGCCTTGCCCTTTTCGGGGCATTGTGCGGTCACATGGGTGACTCCGTTGCACCAAAGGCAGTATCCGTACTTCTGACGTAGGTCATAGACCTCCTTGGTGATCTTATATGYSGTYCATGGCTGCCCAGCTCCCGTCGCTGCCGTCTCTTGTGTCGCCTTGTTCTTACGAACTCCCTTGGGACGCTTCGGCGGGAGCGCTGCGACAATTCCTCCATCACCCGAGGATGTTGCTGCAGCGTGGTGGTTGTCGGTTTCCTCAGAAATCACGGCATTGTTATGTGCCGGACGTTGATAGGCCTGCTTAGCCACATAATGCGGTTGGGATTGTCTCTCGTTAGCGGCCTTGTCGTCCGTTTGGATGACCAAGTTCGCTCGATCCAGAATGSCCTGGAATGTGGTATAGTCGTACTCATTACCGAGTGCCGACCKCAATCCCGCGCATGATCGCGAGAAGAACTCGGATCGTTGATTTGGAAACATCAAGTCGAAGCCTGGTGTGGTCACTATCTTTTGCCACTTCRTTGTCCAGTCTCGAGTTGGCATGTTCCCCTGAGAGCATGTGTACACCTCATTCATGGCCGCCTTCACGACATTGCGGACCATGAACCGGGTGAAAAATAGCTGCTCGAACTCCTTCCACGTGATGTGCGTGTGGAGTTCGGCGATGGTGCACTTGTCTGAAGAAGAAGAAGAAGAAGGAGGAGGAGGAGGAGAGAGAGAGAGAGAGAGAGAGCTGACGAGGGAGGGAGGAGAGGTCCTCCGCTCCCAGGTACCTCAGGCGGCAATGGCCGCCGTGCTGGCTTAGTCGCCCTGCTGCTGCTCCGCTTGTCGCTGCGCAAATGCTGCGCTGCCGCTGCTGCTCCTTGCTCGCTCCTGCGCTAAACTTAGCGCATCAAAACAGCGCTCTGGCGCTGACCATAACGCACCGGTAGAGTGCCGGTGGTTCGATGCCTCGAAGTGAGGCCGGACCGGTTCTTTATACCGGTGGGCAGAGGCCGGCCTCACTGCTGCGAGGCCTGGCCGTGCCCTGAACCGTCCAGATGGACGGTTCAGCCCCAACCGGCGGGCGGCAGCCTCAAGAGCGCCGCCAGGCCCAAACGGTAATGTCGTTTGGGCCTGCCCGTCGGGTCTGGTCCAAGGTGAGGCCTTTATGGCCTGTAGTACCCCAAGGTCGGGCCTTTAGGCACTGGTGTGTTCCTCTAGCCCTGAGTCGGGTCCGGTAGGACCCGTGTGGCGTCGAAGATGTAACAACATGTGTCGACCCCGAGAATTGAACCCGTGACCTGTGCATTCACAACAGTTGGTAGGCTGTCGTAGGTCCGTAGGTTGTAGGGGTTCGATCTGTAGACCTGTAGGACAGAGGTCTTAGTGAGTTCGAGAAGTCGTAGTTGTAGCTCTTTTGAAGGGTCAAGGTCGTAGCTGCTACAGTCCTGAAAGGTCAAGGTCGTAGCTGCTACAGTGTTCAAAAGGCCAAGCCCACAGACTTCCGGAAGGTCCGGAAGTGGCCTTTCGAAGTTGTCTCACGTTTGGACAGAGGCAAGTGGGCAAGTGGTGAGCCCAACTGCGTTACGTCGGCAGTGCGACTCCATCGAGTTGGCAGTGCAAACCCATGCAGTCAGCAGTACAGGTCCCAGTCAGTCACAGTCCAGTCAAGCAAGTACCGTGTGGGACTGTGCACCCAGGGCATGGAAAAGGGCCAGACCAACGAGTTACAGAAGTATAAATCAAGAGGCAGCGCCCAGCCATTCATTCATTCCTGCGGAAGCCATGCGGAAGCGCTGCTTGCGCGACTTGTCCGAGGTGGTCTGCAGAGCGCCTGAAGACGAAGTGGGCAGAGTAGAGGTTGCATAGCCGCCAGCAGGGTTAAGCGGCCATAGCCGCCGTAGGTGGTAGGCGAGTGTAGTGTGTGTGTGTGTGTGATATAGTGTGTCGCGTGTGGGATATCCAGGGTGATCCTGAGTTGAGTGTGTGTGAACAGCGGAGTTGAGCACAGTGACGAACAGAGAGTTGTTGGGCGCAATAGCGCCATAGCCATCAGAAGCAAGCTTGCAGTGAACTGTGTTCTTGGTTGCCATATCTCTGAGCTTTGAGTGGGTGCTTGTCGCCAGTTTGGTGAGCTACCTGTTTGCATGCATGTGAAGGAAGAAAAGTAAGTGAGTCTGATTGCATCGGTATCAGAGCTGGTACCCGCTATTCCACGCGCCATCGCCATCGAAGAAAAAGTCCGCCATAGCTGGTCTGCGGAAGAAGAATGACGCCGCGTGCACCTGCAAAGAAGACAACCAAGAGAGAGAGAGAGAGAGAGAGAGAGAGAGAGAGAGAGAGAGAGAGAGAGAGAGAGAGAGAGAGAGAGAGAGAGAGAGAGAGAGAGAGAAATTGGTTGTGCAGTCCAACAAGGGAGAAGGTAGCATCCATAGCCGCTGAGCTCGGACACTGAGGGACGAAGGAGGAACAGTGGTAGAGAAGGAGGGAGAGACCGAGAGGAGTAGGGTAACCATAGCCAAGGAAGGTAAAGGGAGAGACGAAAAAAAAAAAAAAAAAAAAAGAGAATGAAGATAACCGGGGTGGAAGAAGAAAGAGGCGAGGAAGGAGAAAGGAAGGAGGGAGAAGAGAAAGTGGAGGCTGGTGAGGAAGAAGACGGCAGCCATAGCCGGGCGAAGAGTTGACCGGAGTTGACTGGGAGTTGACCGGGGGTTGACCACAGCGTTGACCAAGCGTTGACCGGAGCTGCTGACCGTCAGTTTGACCAAGCTGGAGTTCGTATATTCCCGCCAAGCCTTCAGCCTATCCCCTCGCCCTATGGATGTGCACACACCCTGTGGTACTCGCTGAGTCTGTTTGTCTCTTCTTTCTGCATCGAGTCTCTTTTGTCCAGGTGTAGGAACTCTGTGTATGAAGGATAGGGCCTTGTTGACCAAACCCACACGGGCTGAGTAGGGCTAAAGACTATGTCTGACGACTCGACTGTCCCGGAGGACACGAACCCTCCCAAGGACCGGTATTGACCGAAAGGCTGCTCGGTGTGGCACGGTAGGCCCAATATCCGAGCTGTGGGCTGCACAACAGGCTGTCTAAGTCTTGAGAGGACTTGCTGATCTCGTCGTCCTGTTTGCCACGTTAAATAATTCCTGAGGAGTAACGGGGGATCTCCTTAAATGCCTCCTGATCAGCAGTGAGTCCTGTAGTGACAGCCATAGTTTAGGTCTAGGCTAGTGACCCTAGTTGACAGGATCCTATCTAGATTCTGTGGTCCATAGATTGAGTCAGTTAGGTTGTGTCAGTTAGGTTGTGTCAGTTAGGTTGTGTCAGTCAGGGGGTAGAAGTCTAAGTGGTGAGGAGTGGAACTATTGCCCAGTTGTGCACTTGACACCATGGTTGACACCCGTAGAGGGAAGAGTACTACCCCCTACACCCAGGCTCAAGAGGAGCAAGCCGCCGCCATTTTAAGAGAGAAAAGAGAAGGCCGTCTAAGTGTTGAGAAGACCTGCTGATCGCGTCGTCCTGTCTGCGACGTTAAATAATTCCTAAGGAGTTACGGGGGATCTTTTTAAATGCCTCCTGATCAGCAACAGGTCTTGTAGTGACAGCCTTAGAGTAGGTCTAAGCTAGAGACCCTAGTTGACAGGATCCTGTCCGGATTCTGTAAGTCTTTAGATTGAGTCAGTAGGTGTGTCAATCAGGGGGAGTAGAGTCTAAATGGTAGTGGAACCGTTGTCTGGTGGTGCACCTTTCACCATGGTTGACACCCGTACTGGGAAGAGTACTGCCCCCTCTGAGGCCGAGCAGGCCCGGATTGCCGCCCTTTTGAGAGAGAAGAAAGAGAAGGAGCTCCTGAAGCAGGCGAAGCTCAAGGCCATTGAGGAGGAGCAGGCAGCGAAGAAGAAGAGATTGGAGGAAGAGATGCTAAGATTTCAAAAGGAAAAGATGATGATGTTAGAGGGAGAGGAGGAGGAAAGAAGAAGGGCTGCAGAAGAAGCAGCAGCAGCAGAAGAGGAAGAAGAAGAAGAAGAAGAACCCCTTGAAAGAAGACGTGGAGAACAGAGAGGGGAAGCAAGTGGTACGAAGGAGGAGGACAGATGGAGGGAGAAGAAAATTAGTGAATGGGTGGCTAACTTATCTTTGGGAGAAGATGAAGAGGCACAGTTATATGTGCCCCAGGAGGCGAGGGAGGCGTTTGCCAGGGCCCTGGAGCTGATAGAGGATCCCCTGGAACGCCAGGCGACAGAGGATGAGAAAAAGTTGGAGTGGAAATTGAAGATGATGAGAGAAAAGAAGAGAAGGAGGGACAAAGCCAGCAGAATAGCCGGGGAGGTTGAGCGAGTGCGAACCGGCAGGCAGGAGCTACAGGCCCAAACAGAGGTTTCTGCCAAGTTAGATAAAGATGACGGGCTTCTTGGAAGTCTTGAGTGAGGCCTGGCTGGAAGAGCACCAGGCCCGTAAGGGTCAAGAGGTGACCCTGCAAGCAATGCGATCCGGGCTTAGAGAATTTGTGAGCGACATGGTGGGCCACGTCGGGGCCGAAATTAGAAGATTGAGGGATGGCGTAGACAAGTTCTGCGTTGGCGCCATTGAGACCGCCAAAGTTGTGGCCACAACAGAGGCCACGGCGCGTCCCCGCAAAGAGCCAGTCAAGTTGAAGTTCCCTAACCCATATAGCGGGAAGAAAGAGGAAAATTTCGATAATTGGGAGGCCAGCATAAACACCTACGTCTTTTTACAGCACATAGCCCCCGAGGAACAAGTCCTCATTGCCTTCCACGCCTTAAAAGACGAAGCAGCCAGCTTCGCCAGGTCCCTCGCACGTGCCGCAGATTGCGAGCACAACATGATCGCATATTCTAGGCTTACCCCCCTCGCCACTTTCCTCAAACTCCTGCGCAAGAGGTTTGCTGACGTCACTAGGGGCGTCAGGGCCTCCGACAAGCTCCAAACCAGCCATTCACGATAGTGGAGGAGTGCGAGAGCACTCAAGGCTGTCATGGACGATTTGGTAGCCGTCCCGGACCACGGGGTCACTGAGACCTAGTTGGTTCAGTTGTTTTATCGTGCCATGCCAGAGCCCTTACGAGGGCATTTTTTTGACAAGACCCAGCAGCCCAACATCACATACGATGCATTGAGTAGGGAGGTGGTCTTGTTTGAGGCCAAGTCAATGCCAGTTTCCACTTTCTGGCACAAAGACTTAGATAAGGGAAAGAAGTGGAAAGGGCGTACCATCTCTGGTCAGGTTAGGGCCAAGGATCATATGATCCTTACGTTGGAAGAAGGTGGTACTGACGAGGTCCCTTACAGTCAGATTGAGTGGAGCCTCGAGGAAGAGGACAGTAGCGTGGGTCAAGGGAGGTCCTATGCTACTGTCGCGGCTGGAGGGAGGCCGCAAAGTAGAGGAGGAGGCCAGGACCAAAGGGGCTAGGCCATGGGAGGCCGACGATCGGGCGCTCAGGGGGTTGGTGGCCAAAGGAACCGCCAAGAGGGAGGTAGGGGTCAAGGTCCCCCGCCAAATCGCCAAGGTCCCATTCGGTCCCCACAGAGACAAGGTGGAGGATCACCTCAAAGGAGAGGAGGTTGGCACCCAGTATGGCCGCAAGGCCGACCCTGGGAAGATCTGGGCCCGAACCAAAAAGTGTGGCAGCAGCGAATGGAGCAGGGTCAGTGCATTTACTGTGGTGACCCTGCCCATATCATAAAATATTGTCCTAAGTATAGACAGGCCCATTGGGCTGCCCAGGAGTCAAAAGGCAGCCGCCGGTAGGGGTTGCAACTGCCCCTACTATTAGGCCATGTGGGGAAGCGAGCGCACGCATACAGGAAACTCCCAAACCACATAAGCCTTTGGCAGAGGTTGTAGGCCCGTGCCTAGTTAGCTGTCCAGAGACTGCTTGTGTTAGCGTCTCTCAAGGCACATCCCTCACAGGCATGGCAGAGGAATTGAAGGAGAGGATGCCTGTCTGAGCCAAGATGAAGAAAGATAGTAAAGGGCAGCTAGTGTTAGTTGATGTAGAAGTGTTCAGGAGTAGAGTTGGGGCCCTTATAGATTCAGGGCTACCCGTAGCTATATTAGTCGTAGAGCGCTGAAGAAGTTGAGGCTAGGACTGAAAGTCCAAAAAAGACCCCATAGTTAGTGTCCTCGCAGACAACCGCACGATGCGAGTTGAGGACTACGTAGAGGGAGTCCAGGCGTATTTTCGCCTAGAGAAAGATGGGAAGGTGGAGAAAGTTTTCCATTCCCTGACTCTCCTCGTACAGGATGACCTTCCGTTTGACATAGTCCTAGGCATGGACTAAGGAGAGGCAACAGGGGCCACACTCCACTTGAGAGAGCATGAGTGTAGGCTCCCTAGTCCGTCTGGCGAGGTTAAGACAACCCGCCTGTTCCATGTGTCTGGAGTAGATAACTTCCTTGGCACATTGCTGTCTCAGTGCTCCCGCGTTTGCGCGACTAGTGAGAAAGGAGCAGTTAGAGGATCAGGTCTTTGTAGTGTATGTAAGGCCTGTCACTGAGACGAATCAAGAGGACAGTTCCACAGATCCAGCCATTGCCAAGCTGCTGGAGGAGTTCAAAGACTTATATGAGTCGCCGACAGGAGTAGTGTCGCGGCCGATTCAGCACAGGATAGAGATAGAGCCTGGCAGTAGAACTCCTAAGGGAGCAGTTTACAAAGTTAGAGGAGTTGCGCAAGCAGTTGGACGAGCTCCTTGAGAAAGGTTGGATTAGGCCCAGTTCATCTCCTTTTGGAGCACCAGTTTTATTCGTCCCCAAGAAGGAAGGAGAGTTGCGAATGTGTATAGAGTATAGGGGTCTAAATGCTATCACAATCAAGAATGTTGAACCATTGCCCAGGATAGACGATCTCTTAGATCGGGTGCAGGGTTGCAAGTATTTCTCTAAGATAGATTTGAAGTCCGGATACCATCATATAGAGGTCCATCCTGATGACAAGTACAAGACTGCGTTCCGGACTAGATATGGGCACTATGACTTCATAGTGATGCCCTTTGGACTAACCAATGCACCAGTGACATTTCAGCGATGTATGAACGATTTGTTTAGGCCTTGGTTAGATAGATTTGTCGTAGTGTATCATGACGACATCTTAGTTTTCAGTAGGACCCTCCAAGAGCACCAGGGTCATTTGAGGCAAGTCTTGGAGAAGCTCAGAGAGGCTAACTTCAAGATCAATGCAAAGAAGTGTGGGTGGGCCAAGACACAAGTTTTGTACTTGGGCCACGTGTTAAACGGAGATGGCATTGAGCCTGAGGACAATAAGATAGCGACGATTAGAGATTGGCCGACGCCCCGCACATTGACAGAGTTGTGGTCGTTCCTAGGCCTAGCTAACTACTATAGGAAGTTCGTGAGGAACTTCTCGACTATCGCCGCTCCCCTACGCAGGTTGCTCAAGAAAGAGGCAATCTGGCAGTGGGATAAAGACTGTACGTCTGCGCTAAAGAAGTTAAAGCGCGCGTTAATAGAGTATCCTATGCTCAAAGTAGCGGATACGTCCTTGCCATTTGTCGTCACCACGGACGCGAGTCGGTATGGTATAGGCGCCGTGTTACAACAAGACGACGGCAATGGCTATAGACCCGTAGAGTTCATGTTCGCGAGGATGCCCTGTGAGAAGGTCGCTACCTCCACGTACGAGAGAGAACTCTACGCTCTCAGGCACGCTTTAGAGCACTGGAAGCATTACCTGCTTGGGAGGCACTTCGAAGTGTACTTCGACCATGAGACTCTTAGATGGTTGAAGACACAGGCCAAGATGACACCCAAGTTGACTAGGTGGGCCGTTGAGATAGACCAGTACGACTTTGAGCTCAAGCCAGTTAAGGGCAAGTACAATGTAGTTGCGGATGCTCTGAGTAGAAGGTCAGACTACTTTGGAGCCATAGTTCACTATCTGGACATAGGGCGTGACCAGCAAAAGAAAGTTAGACAGGCGTATGTGCAGGACCCTATCTATAGTGACCTCCTCAAGAAGGTTAAGGAGGCCCCAGAGACCGAGCCAGATTACCGCACTACAGAGGGGTTATTATTTGAGAAGACTAATGTAGTAGACCGCCTATGCGTTCCCAACAGTGAGGAGATCCGTAGTCTGATCCTAGGGGAATGCCACGATAAAGAGGGACACTTTGGTTGGCAAAAGACTTTAGCCAATCTTATGCACGCGTACATATGGCCAGGAATGAAAAACGATTGCATAGAGTATGTCCGCAGTTGTAAAGTCTGTCAAAGGAACAAGACTACTACGAGTGCCCCTCTAGGTCTTCTCAGACCCTTGCCTATTCCAAACCAGCTTGGGGATTCAGTCTCCATTGACTTCATGGATGCCGGTGTCAAGAGTAGGCACGACAAGAGCCAAGTTATGGTCGTAGTCGCTAGATTTAGCAAGTATGCCATTTTTGTTCCTTTGCCTGCAGAGGCGCGTACCGAATTAGTTATCCAGAAGTTTTTCGATTTTTGGGTTAGTGAGCATGACGTCTGGCACGAGCTGATGAGAGTCTATGGATCTAAGTTGTTGATGTCGTCTGGCCGCCATCCAAAGACTAACGGTCAGACAGAGCAGATGAACAAGATCCTGTAGCAAGTTCTGCGCATGTACATTAGACCGGATCAGATTAACTGGGACGAGATGTTACCCAAGGTAGCCAGTGCATACAATAACAGCGTGCATTTGTCCACCTGTCGCACTCCCAACGAGTTGCACAAGTCCTTTCGACCACGTAGACTGTTTGAGGGACTTAACCGGCATTAGATTCACAGGCTACCGCCCGGTACCAGGAGTTCGTGATACAACACGAGAAAGAGATAGCCACTGTTGTTGAGAACCTCAGGAAGGCCCAGCACCGATTGATAGAACAGGCTAATACGCACCGTCGCCCATCGCAGTTTCAGGTAGGCGACCTGGTCTGGGTCAAGTCTAAAGAGTTTGCGCCTGAGAGAACATCTCGCAAAAGTTTCTGCCCACTTATAGAGGACCGTGGCCAGTCCTAGAAGTCAAGGGCGGAGAGGATGGGCCGTCCTACACAGTAGAGATACCAGCACACCTCCATACCTACCCTGTGTTTCACGCATCAAAGTTGCTGCCGTGTGTCACAAGTCAACAGTTTCCATCCAGACGGTCCATGATCCCTCCAGACATGGACATGAGATATGACATTGACAGCATTGTAGGTGAAGATATGTTCAGGACAAGAGGTAGAGGTCGTCCGCAGAAGCAATATAAGGTCCGGTTTGTGTATCAGGAACCGGAGGATGACCGCTGGTTCACTAGAGCAGAACTTCTAGAGACAGCTCCCTATATAGTTAGAGCCTACGAGAGAGATCAGAAAGATAAAGGTCCTGCCTTGGACTGAGTTATTCTCGGAGGACCTCGAATTTAGGCCGGCGGGAGTGAAACGGTATTCACCGGTTCGCAGTAGCTGATGCAGATCCCAAGGCCCGATCCCTAGTCCCCACCTTACCTGTGTACATTACCTGTGTCGACCCCTAGAGTTGAACCCGTGACCTGTGTATTTGTAGCAGTCGGTAGGTTGCTGTAGGGTCCATAGGTAGCAGGGGTTCGATCTGTAGACCTGTCGAGTAGGAGTCTCAGTCAGGTGTAGAGGTCGTAGCTGTAGCTTTCTCGAAGAGTCAAGGTCGTAGTTGCTGCAGTCCAAAAAGGTCAAGGTCGTAGCTGCTACAGTATCGAAATGCCAAGTCTACGACCTTCCGGAAGGTCTGAGTAGTGGCCTTTCAAAGTCTCCCACGTTTAGGCTAAGGCAAGTGGGCAAGTGGTGAGGCAAGTGGTGGAGTCTACCCGTGCTGAGTCAGCAGTCCTGGTCCAGTCAAGCAAGTACCGCATGGGACTGTGTGCACTACGGGCATGGGAAAGGGGCCAAACTAACGAGTTGCAGAAGTATAAATCAAGAGGCAACGCCCAGCCATTCATGCATTCCTGCGTGAGCCATGCGGAAGCGCTGCCATCAGCGACTTGTGCAAGGAGGTCTGCAGTGAGCCCGAGGACGAAATGGGCGAGAGAGAAGGAGTGTAGCCATCGCGATAGGGTAGTAGCGGCCATAGCCGCCATAGCTGTAGTTAGAGTTCAGTGTGTGTGCACGTGTGTGTTCAGAGTATCGCGTGTGGGATATCCAGGGTGATCCTGTGTATGCGGGCAGAGAGTTGTGTGGGGCGCTGAGTCGCCATAGCCATCGAAGTGAACTTGAATCTAAGTTGTGTTCTCGGTTACCATATCTCTGAGTTTTGAGTGGGCGCTTGCCGCCAGTTTGCTGCACACCTGTTTGCATGCATGAGAAGTGTGAATGAGAGCGAGTCTGATTGCATAGGCAAGAGGTAGAGGCCCAACCTGACATACAGGGTAAGTTGGACAAGATCCTTTGGAGCATTGAGCTCCTAGGCCGTGCATGGACTGAACATCATCAGTCCGTTAGGGGCCAAGACATGGCCCTCCATTCCATCCGGAACGGTTTCGAGAGTTTGGCGCGACGTGGTAACTCACGTCGGGACCGAAGTGAGGAGACTGAAGGACGTCGCAGAGAAATTTTGTGCAGGCGCCATTGAGGGCGCCAAAGTGGTAGCCGCATCAGAGAGTGAGGGTCGTACCTGCAAAGAGCCTGTTAAGCTCAAACTCCCTGACTCTTGTGGCGGGAAAAAGGAGGAGAATTTTGATAATCGGGAGGCTAGTGTCAACAGCTATGTATATTTACAACATATTTTACCTGAGGAACAAGTCCTTGTAGCCTTCCATGCCTTGAAGGATGAAGCGGCTAGTTTTCCCAGGTCCCTCGCGCGAGCAGCCAGTTGTGCAAACAACATGGTTGCATATTCCAAGGTTACCTCCCTTCCTCACTTCTTCAAACTCCTTAGAGAGAGGTTTGCAGACGTCACACGTGTCGCCAGGGCCTCCGATAAGCTGCAAACGATCCACTCAAGGCAATGATGGACGACTTGGTTGACATCTCGGACCACGGGTCACCGAGACCCAGTTGGTTAATTTGTTTTGTCATGCAATGCCAAAGCCCCTGCGAGGGCATTTCTGTGAAAAGACCCAACAGGCCAACATTACGTACGATGCGTTAAGTAGAGAAGTGGTCCTGTTTAAGGCGAAATCCTTGCCAATTTCCACTTTTTGGCACAAGGATTTGGATAAAGGGAAAAAGTGGAAAGGACGTATCATCTCGGGTCAGGTTAGGGCCAATGATCATCTGATCCTTACTTTAGATGAGGGTGGTACGGATGAAGTTCCCTACAGTCAGATTGAGTGGGGGCTAGAGGAGGATGACAGTAGTGTGGGTCAAGGGAGGACGTACGCTGCTGTCGCGGCTGGAGGTAGGCCGTAAGGTAGAGGAGGAGGCCAGGGCCAAGGGGGCCGAGCCATGGGCGGTCGAGGTTCGGGCGCACAGGGGGCTGGCGGCCAAAAGAACCGCCAAGAGGGAGGTAGGGGTCAAGGTCCCCCGCCGAATCCTTCGAGTCCCAGTTGATCCCCACAGCGGAGAGGTGAAGGATCACCTCAGAGGAGAGGAGGTTGGCACCCCGGTTGGCCACAGGGCCGGCCTTGGGAAGATTTGGGCTTGGACCAGAGAGTGTGGCAACAACGTATGGACCAGGGGCAGTGCATTTACTGCGGTGACCCTGCCCATATCATTAAGTATTGTCCAAAGTATAGGGAAGCCCGTTTCGCTGCCCAAGGGTCAAAAGGCAGCCGCCGGTAGGGGTCACAACTGCCCCTACCACTAGGCCATGTGGGGAAGTGTGCGCGCACCACTTGGAAACTCCCACACCACATGAGCCTATGGCAGAGGTTGCAGGTCAGTACCTGGTTAGCTGTCCAAAGACTGCATGTGCTAGAGTTTCTCTAGGCACTTCTCTCACAAGACTGGCAGAAGAATTGAAGGAGAGGATGCCGGCCTGGGCCAAAATGAAGAAAGAAAGTAAGGGACTAGTTTTGGTAGATTTAGAAGTTTTCAGGAGCAGAGTGGGGCCCCTTATAGATACAGGGGCTATTCGTAGTTATATCAGCCTTAGAGCGTTGAAGAAGTTGAGGCTAGGTCTGGAAGTTCGAAAATTGGAAGACCCCATAGTCAGTATCCTCGCAGTTTTTCATTCCCTGACTCTCCTCGTAGAAGAGAGGCAGCAGGGGCCACACTCCCTAGTCCGTCACGCGAGGTCAAGACTGCCCGCCTGTTCCATGTGTCAGTCTTGACCTCGCCTGACGGAGTACGGAGCCTACACTCATGCTCTCTTAAGTGGAGTGTGGTCTTGGAGAAGTTGAGAGAGGATAACTTCAAGATCGATGCGAAGAAGTGTGAGTGGGCCAAGACACAAGTCTTGTACTTGGGGCATGTTTTAGACGGAGATGGGATTAAGCCTGAGGACAGCAAGATAGCGGCGATTCGAGACTGGCCGATGCTCGGCACACTGTCAGACTTGCAGTCGTTCTTAGGCCTAGCTAACTATTATAGAAAGTTCACGAGGAACTTCTCTACTATCGCCGCTCTCCTTCGCAGGTTGCTAAAGAAAGAAGCGATCTGGACGTGGGACAAAGATTGTACGTTTGAAGTTAAAGCGCGCGTTGATAGAGTACCCCGTACTCAAGGTAGCAGATCCGTCCTTGCCATTTGTCGTCACTACGGACGCGAGTCAGTATGGTATAGGCGTCGTGTTACAGCAGGACGACAACAATGGCTATAGACCCGTAGAGTTCATGTCAGCGAGGATGCCCTCAAGGAAGGTAGCTACCTCGACTTACGAGAGAGAACTCTACGCTTTGAGGCAGGCCTTAAAGCACTGGAAGCATTACCTGCTTGGGGCACTTCAAAGTTTATTCAGACCACGAGACTGTTAGGTGGCTGAAGACGTAGGCCAGGATGACACCTAAGTTGACTAGGTGGGCCGCTGAGATAGACCAGTATGACTTTGAGCTCAAACCGGTCAAAGGCAAGTATAATGTAGTTGCGGATGCTCTAAGTAAAAGATCATACTACTTCGGAGCTATAGTTCATTATCTGGATATAGAGACAGACCTGCAAGAGAAAGTAAGAGAGGCGTATGCGCGGGACCCTATTTATGGTGACCTCCTCAAGAAAGTTAAGGAGGCCCCAGAGACTGAACCACACTACTGCACTACATAGGGATGATTGTTCGAGAAGACCAATGTAATAGACCGTTTGTGCGTCCCTAACAGTAAGGAGATCCGTAGTTTGATCTTGGGGGAATGCCACGACACCGAGCGACATGTTGGTTGGCAGAAGACGTTAGCCAACTTGATGCACGCGTATACTTGGCCAGGGATGAGGGCCGAGTGTATAGAGTACGTTCACAGTTGTAAAGTCTGTCAAAGGAATAAGACCACTATGCGTGCCCCTCTAGGTCTTCTTCGACCTTTGCCCATTCCTTACTAGCATGACGATTCAGTGTCCATTGATTTTTATGGATGCTAGCGTCAAGAGTAGGCATGGTAAGAGCCAAGTCATGGTAATGGTAGATAGATTTAGCAAATATGTTGTTTTTGTTCCCTTGCCCGCAGAAGCCCGTACATAGTTAGTCATTCATAAGTTTTTCGACTTGTGGGTTAGTGAGCACGGGATCCCATTGTCCATAGTCAGTGATAGGGACACCCGCTTTACAAGTTCGAACTGGCAGGAATTAATGAAAGTTTACGGGTCAAAGTTGTTAATGTCGTCTGACCGTCACCCTGAGACTAACGATCAGACCGAATAGATGAATAAGATCCTGCAGCAAGTTTTGCGCATGTACATTAGACCCGATCAAGTCAACTGGGATGAGACGTTGCCCAAGGTAGCCAGTGCGTATAACAACAACGTGCACTTAGCCAATTGTCGTACTCTCAATGAGTTGCATAAGTCCTTTAGACCGCGCAAACCGTTTGAAGGACTTAATTGGACCAGATTCATAGGTTACCGACTGGTACTAGGGAGTTGGCGATACAGCACGAGAAGGAGTTAGCTACTGTTGTTGAGAACCTCAGGAAGGCCCAACACTGAATGATAGAACAGGCAAATAAGCATCGTTGCCCGTCACAGTTTCAAGTAGGCGACCTGGTCTGGGTAAAGTCCAAAGAGTTTGCTCCTGAGGAAAACATTTCGCAGAAGTTACTGCCAGCTTACAGGGGACCGTGGCCAGTTCTAGAGGTTAAGGGTGGAGAGGATGGGTCGTCCTATACTATAGAGATCCCAACACACCTCCACACCTACCCTGTGTTCCATGCATCAAAGTTGTTGCCATGTGTCACAAGTAAACAGTTTCCATCAAGGAGATTCATGATTCCTCCGGACATGGATGGAAGGTATGACATTGAGGGCATTGTAGGTGAAGACGTATTCAGAACAGGAGGTAGAGGTCGTCCACAGAAACAATATAAAGTCAGATTTGCTTATCAGGAACCCGACAACGACCGCTGGTTTACTAGAGTTGAACTTCTAGAAACAGCTCCAGACATAGTTAGAGCCTACGAGAGAGAAAGGAAAGGTAAAGGTCTGGCCTTAGACTAAATTATTCTCGGAGGACCTCGAATTTAGGCCGACGGGAGTGAAACAGTACTCACCTGTTAGCAGTAGAGAATGCAGATCCCAGGGCTCGATCCCTAGTTCTTACCTTACCTGTGTACAGTATCTGTGTACCTTGAGAGTTGAACCCGTGACCTGTGTATTCACAACAGTTGGTAGGGTGTCATAGGTCCGTAGGTTGTAGGGGTTCGATCTGTAGACATGTAGGATAGAGGTCTTAGTGAGTTTGAGAAGTCTTAGATGTAGCTCTTCTGAAGGGTCAAGGTCGTAGCTGCTACAGTCCTGAAAGGTCAAGGTCGTAGCTGCTACAGTGTTCGAAAGGCCAAGCCCACAGACTTCCGGAAGGTTCGGAAGTGGCCTTTCAAAGTTGTCTCACGTTTGGACAGAGGCAAGTGGGAAAGTGGTGAGCCCAACTGCGTTACGTCGGCAGTGTGACTGCATCGAGTTGGCAGTGCAAACCCATGCAGTTAGTAGTACCGGTCCAAGGTGTGTGTGTGTGTGATACAGTGTGTCGCGTGTGTGTGTGTGTGTGTGTGTGTTATACAGTGTGTCGCGTGTGTGTGTGTGTGTGTGTGATACAGTGTGTCGCATGTGGGTGTGTGGGTGTGTGTGTGTGTGTGTGTGTGTGATACATTGTGTCGCGTGTGGAATATCCAGGGTGATCCTGAGTTGAGTGTGTGTGAACAGCGAAGTTGAGCACAGTGACGAACAAAGAGTTGTTGGGCGCAACAGCGCCATAGCCATCAGAAGCGAGCTTGCATTGAACTGTGTTCTTGGTTGCCATATCTCTGAGCTTTGAGTGGGCGCTTGTCGCCAGTTTGGTGTGCTACCTGTTTGCATGCATGTGAAGGAAGAAAGTAAGCGAGTCTGATTGCACAAATGTGCAAATATGTATATTTTATACATAGGACTGCCCAGATCCCCAACGACATCAAGTTCTGAGTGAAGGGATCCGCTCATTCTCTACGCAAGCTAGTAGCTTGAAGCATGGAAACCTGGGTAAGTGTGCAAATGTGCCGATATGTATATCAGCCCGGATCCCCGACGACGTCAAGTACTTCCCATGCTCCTCTATATGTCGGTAGCAGTTTCTAGGAGATTCCTTCTTTCTAGAGGGAAACTGCTTGGAATGACCCAGACTAGCTCTGCAACAGCAAACCGTGAAGGCCTAGGACGCTTATTGGCCTGCTCTACCCTTAGATAATGGGCCTTCCAGATGTTGTCTGCAACACTTTCAGATCTCGTACTCTAGCACAAACTCTCGAGTGCCCAGTGTCAGTCTTTGAATTGACCAGGATTCAGATAGTAGATCGGTGGTCGAGGAAGCCGCCTCTTGTACAATTCATTCGGTGTGCGTGACACGACAATGTTATGTAACTAATTGAAACTCGTTGCACAACACACTCACGCATGCAACGATGAAGCAGACTTGGAGAAGGCAAATCCACACAAACCCAAGAGAGATACACAGTGGAAGCTCATGATACAAAAACAGATTTGAAGTGCAAACTTCAAATCTTAGTTCCCCCTTCCTTTTGCAACTGGTCAGATTACAACTCCCAAAATCTAAACCGCATTTAAACAACTGCGAAAAAAATAAAAACAAGTTTCAACGAAGTATCAAGGAGCCTCCTCCTTCCTCTAGGTCAACCCATAGCGATGCCAGCTATTCAGCATACAGCGCCCAACCTTCGAAACCAGCAAACCACCAACGTCACCTCCCGCTCACAAGTGCCAACCACGAACCCCTACCGAAACCCTGTTCACAAAGTCAACGCCCAACCAGGAGGGTATCTTCCCTATTTTGACTTGTAGGTATCTTCATCAAGAATCCGATCAATGTTGTACGTACCATCCACATCCGGTGGGACCATAGATCTGAGTGAAGGGATCCAATCGTTCTCTACACAAGCTAGTAGCTTAGAAGCATGGAAAACTGGGTAAGTGTGCAAATGTGTTTATATGTATATTGTATACGTATGACTGCCCAGATCCTCGACGACATCAAGTTCTGAGTGAATGGATCTGATTGTTCTCTATGCAAGCTCGTAGCTTATCAGCATTGAAAACTGTGTGTGCAGATGTGTCAATATGTATATTGTATACATAGGACTTCCCGGATCCCCGACGACATCAAGTTTTGAGTGAAGGGATTCGATTGTTCTCTACGCAAGCTAGTAGCTTAGAAGCATGGAAAACTGGGTAAGTGTGCAAATGTGCCGATATGTATATTGTATATGTTTGACTGCCCGGATCCACGAGGACATCAGGTACTTACCATACTCCTCTATATGCCTATCACAGTTTATGGGAGATTCCTTCTTTCCAGAGGGGAACTCCTTGGACTGACCCAGACTAGGTCTGCAACAGCAAACTGTGAAGGCCTACGATGCTTGTTGGCCTGCTCTACCATTTGATGATGGGTCTTCCAGATGTTGTCTACAACACGTTGCAGATCCTTCCCGTACTCTATCACAAACTCTCTAAAGCTTAGTGGCAGTCTTTGAATTGATCAGGATTCAGATAGTAGATTGGTCGTTGAGGAAGCCACCTCTTGTGCAATTCTTTCGGTGTGCATGACATGGCAATGTTATGTAACTAATTGAAACTCGCTCCACAACACACTCACGCATGCAACTATGAAGCAGACTTGGGGAAGGCAAATCCACACGAAACCGAAGAGAGATACACAACGAAAGTTCAAGATACAAAAACAGATTTGAATTGCAATTTTCAAATCTTAGTTCCCCCTTCCTTCTCCAACCGATCAGATTCCAACTCCCAAAATCTCAACCGCATTGTAACAACTGTGAACAAATTAAAAACAAGTTTCAACGAAGTATCTTGGAGCCTCCTCCTTCCCCCACCTCAACCCGTAGCTATGGCAGTTGTTCAGCAAACAACGCCCAACCTTCGGAACCAGCAAACCACCAACGTCACCTCCCACTTACAAGTGCCAACCAGGAACCCCATCAAAACCCTGTTCACAAAGTCAACGCCCAACCAGGAGGGTATCGCCCCTATCCTGACTTGCAGGTATCTTCATCAAGAATCCGATCAATATCATACGTACCATCCACATCAGGTGGGATCAGAGATCCGAGTGAAGGGATCCGATTGTTCTCTACACAAGCTAGTAGCTTAGAAGCATGGAAAACTAGGTAACTGTGCAAATGTACCGATATGTATATTGTATACGTAGAACTTACCGGATCCCTGACGACGTCAAGTTCTGAGTGAAGGGATCCGATTGTTCTCTACGCAAGCTAGTAGCTTAGAAGCATGGAAACTGGGTAAGTGTGCAGATGTGCCGATATGTATGTTGTATACATAGGACTGCGCGAATCCTCGACGAGATTAAGTACTTCACATGCTCCTCTCTATATGCCGATAGCAGTTATGGGAGATTCCTATTCTTGAGAGGGGAACTCCTTGGCCTGACCCCGACTAGGTCTGCAACAGCAAACCGTGAAGGCCGACGATGCTTGTTGGCCTGCTCTACCATATGATGATGGGCTTCCGGACGTTGTTTTCAACATGTTGCAGATCCTTCCCGTACTCTAGCACAAACTCTCTAGTGCCCGGTGGTAGTCTTTGAATTGATCAAGATTCAGATAGTAGATCGGTCGTCGAGGAAGCCACCTCTTGTGCAATTTGTTCAGTGTGCATGACATGGCAATATCATGTAACTGAATGAAACTCACTTCACAACACACTCACAAATGCAACTACGAAGTTGACTTGGAGAAGGCAAATCCGCACAAAACCGAAGAGAGATACACAGCAAAAGCTCAAGATACAAAAACAGATTTGAAGTGCAAACTTCAAATCTTTGTTCCCTTTTCCTCCTCCAACCAATCAGATTACAACTCCCAAAATCTCAGCCGCATTTCAACAACTGCGAGCAAATTAAAAACAAGTTTCAACGAAGTATATGGGAACCTCCTCCTTCCTCCAGGTCAACCCGTAGCTATGGCAGCTGTAGCAACCAGCGCCCAACCTTCAGAACCAGCAAACCACCAGCGTCACCTTCCACTCACAAGTGCCAACCACGAACCCCACCAAAACCCTGTTCACAAAGTCAACGCCCAACCAGGAGGGTATCGCCAGCTCCCCTGATGAAGAAGAAGCGCCCTATCGGACAAGACAAAAAATGGCTGCCGTGAAGAAGAGTACTTGGGAGCACCCAAGTCCCAACATCCATGGACAAGGTCCCTATTCATGTCCAAGTACCGCCCCAACTATGGCGGTCGTTCAACACACAGGCTATACAAGTTGACCTCTCGCCAAGCAGTAGCATTCAACTACCAGCACGACAACATTTCCCTAACAAAACAAAATTAAATGAACCGTCACTCGATCGCCACTAAACTATTTCTACCTCGTACACGGCGGCCTACTGGGCCTAAGACACAATGAAACCGAAAAGGCCTCTCGAATCTAGTAACACGATACCGATCCCAAGCAGTTAGTGATAGGGCCTGGGAATATTCCAATAATTTGCAGAAAAGTCCCTATAGGGACAATGCCTGTGAGGGTTACCAGTAAAGGGGCCAAAACTAAAGAAAATTTCAAAATTGACCCGGTATTGTTACAACTCGCAAAGAAACTGCGAATTTATTTCATTCCTACCCGAGCTAGAAGTGTCCACGATCCGAACGTTTGGGCAATTGCGCTATCTGTGCAGCGTCATGAAACACCACAACAAACTTTGTAGACGTTCCTTCCTAGTAAACCACCAGTCTCCAGTATGTGGACGAAATAGGAACTTGACAGTCAGGGCATGTGCCCCATTGATCCTCAATGCGCTCGACCTCATATCCTTTGCCAGGGATAGGACTGAACTGAGGTGGTCTGCCTAGAAATGCATCCAAGGAAGTGAAAGGGAGCAACTTGGATGCATGGAAGACAGGGTAGGTCCCAGGTATGAGGGGGTACAACCAACACATAGGAAGGACCAAAAGGATTTTCCCCCAACGTATCAAGAACCTGTAATGGGCCATAGTAGATGGGCAACAACTTTCTTGAAATGTCTTGCTCATCCGATAATTCGGACCGCTTCCCCCAGAACCAGTGCCACCTCATATCCTTTTCCAAGGATAGGAGGACTGAATTGATGTGGTCTGTCTAGAAATGCATCCGAGGGAGTGAAAGGAAGCAACTTGGATGCATGGAAAACGGGGTAGGTCCTCATATGAGGTACAACCAGCACATAGGAAGGACCAAAAGGATTTGCCCCTAATGTATCAAGATTCTGCAATGGACCATAGTAGATGGGCAACAACTTTCTTGAAATATTTTCATCCGATAGTTCATACCGTTTCACCCAGACCCAGTGCCTTGGAAAAATGGGGGAAGGCAAGTGATCCTTGTTAGCCTGTTCAATCATCCTCTTTTGTGCTTTGAACATGTTAGTTCTTGCCTTCTTTAGCTGTCGTTCGTAACTCATGGCAAAGTCTGTGGTGTCAGGAGTTAATTTGGGCTTTGCCTTATTGATGATACCATCGAGATGCTGTCTCGAGTCCCTGCCCCAGTGGAGCCCTTGTTGAGCCCTGGACAAATGTTTGTCCCAAACCTATTAATCAGGTGTGATCACAGGTCGTAGCATTTGAAATAAGGTCTGGTTCATCCCATCGACCTGTCCGCTAGCCTCAGGATATCTGCCAGAAATCATATCAAGCCTAGAATGGAAGTAGTCCTTATAATAGGACAGGCACTCATTGCTGCAAAAACCCGAATCTCTGTAACTCACAATGGAGGTTGGGTGCCCATGGATCAGGGGAGCATAGGTCTTCAAGAACCCAAAGTTCTCACGAGCATTATGACTCTCTTAAATGAGATAAGTGACGATATTGTCGTCTTTATGGATGCACACGTATTTCCCACTCGCTGATTGTGTACAGCAGACCTAAGGTTACAGCATAACCTGGTTCAAAATTGGGTTCTATTTGCAGATTCCTAACAATAGGGCCAAAGATAGGGTCCAGAGGCAAAACATTTGCGATGGTCTGCCCAGTAGAATATCCAAATGAGTAGGTCTGCATAATAGCAGCAAAAGCGCAGTCCTATGAGAAAGTGCATCATCCACTCTGTTATAATATATCTTCTTGTGCTTCAGTTCAAAGTTGAAAGCGTCAATGAATTGAATGTATCTCAGAGTGATCATAATAGGTCTTCAAGTGTCTTCCCAACAAGAAGTGTTTCCATTGTTTGAGAGCACACACAAGCGCATACAATTCTTTCTCATAGGTGGAAGAATAAAGCAGAACCTCAAGGTCCTGGCTCCTACCATTTTGGGGAGCAACAGTCCGGTTCCTATTCCCCCGGCAAGTCAATGATGATTACAAGGTGTACGCACTTATGCTCCTTCCCATTATGGCCGGGACGCCCGAGTGGACGGCATTGATTACTTCCTCTTGGAAAGTATGTACCACCCCTCACCCCTGCCTAAGTTAGCCTGCGTGACTTGGTGCCTGTCTGCTTTAACGGGGGCTGACTTTGCCGACTCTGTTCGTGATTTGTGGCTTATCCTGTGGAGAACCTAACTAGGTAACTCCTCTCAACTGATCGGCTGTCAAATCGGAATTAAGTACTGGAGTTAATGACTATTATCATTGACTATCTGTTTTGCTGGATGCCCGGCGCCTTGGGACTTCAAACCCGGCTACTGTTTGGAGTTTCTCTAAAATCTGTAGTTGTGGTTAAGCCTCTAAGGACTATTTCTTTGGCCTTGGACCCTATTCGCAAGTCATCTCTTACTTTGCACTTGTGTTTCTAGTAGGTATTTCTTAAACCTTAAACACTAGCCCCTCTTATACTCGTACCTTCTGTCTGTTTTTAGAGGGTTTTGACGGATCTGTCCTTTTCTCTATTTGCAGTTCCTCTAGTGTCCCCTTTGGATTTGATTAGTCCGGTCTGTGTTTGTGTGAGAGTTGGTCGTTGAAATTCTTGTGCGGGGCTAAATAAGTGATTCTTATATCTTGGTTAAGTACTGGAGTTAATGACTATTATCATTGACTATCTGTTTTGCTGGATGCCCGGCGCCTTGGGACTTCAAACCCGGCTATTGTTTGGAGTTTCTCTAAAATCTGCAGTTGTGGTTAGGCCTCTAAGGACTATTTCTTTGGCCCTGGACCCTGTTCGCAAGTCATCTTTTACTTTGTACTTGTGTTTCTAGTAGGTATTTCTTAAACCTTAAACCCTAGCCCCCTTATACTCGTACCTTCTGTCTGCTTTTAGAGGGTTTTGAAGGATCTGTCCTTTTCTCTATTTGCAGTTCCTCTATTGTCCCCTTTGGATTTGATTAGTCCGGTCTGTGTTTGTATGAGAGTTTGTCGTTGAAATTCTTGTGCGGGGCTAAATAAGTGATTCTAAATAAGTGTTGTACTGGCTTTTGCTTGGTTGATGCTATGGCCTCGTCTGTCGTTCAGGCTCTATGGTGTTAGTGGGCAGAGAAGAGCGAAATATGTGGTGTTTTTACTGTATTTCTCTTGGTTTGGGTCCTGGTTGCTGGTAACACTTGTCTGTAGGGGTGTTGGGTCGGGGGTTAGTGAACTACGTATCCTTGGCATTGTTCATTAAGAAATCGTACGTGTGTAATGTGGTGTGGATGATTGAGGGTTTTGTTTTGCTGACTTAGGACGAGTGTACGTGTGCAATGTATGATTCTGATATGTTGTTAACGGATTCTGAGTCTATTTGGACAGCTTGTGGGGCCGTTTCCCAGAGTGTAAAAACGAATCCTTGGCCTTTGGTGTGAGTTATTTTACCCTTCGCTAGGAAGTTTTCTTCAAATTTTTGTTTGTGTTCTTTTGCTTTGTGTACCTCTGCGTCCATTATTTTTCTAACGTTGCTCCATCTGACCCAATATTTTGTTTCTACCTGTTGTTGCATCAGTCGCCATGCTTTATTTAGATGCATCGGTTCTTTGTCGATTGCTTCCTGGCATCTTTTCCACCAAATTGCCCATATTGTTGTCGAGCACATCGCGCCCCTCGCGAGCGAGGGCCCTCCCGGCCACGTCACGCAGGAGAAATGTAGGCTTCCAACTTTTTAGAGACAACTCGAGGACGACACGGTAACCCGCGCCGACCCTTCGCTGCTCTGGCCGAGTGCGCCAGATGTACATCCCATGGTCCCCTACGACAGGATAGGTTCCCGCGGGGCACAACTTACCTTCCCTAAGGGGCTGTCACCACCCTTAGGGGCGTATCCCCGCGGAGCTACCAGCCCAAGTGCGATAATTTTTATGGTGCAATTGCAGAGGTAGGCCGCTCGAGGGCGTTTGCTCGTTCGCAGTAGCATAGGTACGCACGGCTGGACGCCAAGGCAGACTTGAGCGTCGTTCGTCCCTGGGGCATTGATCTCCCAGGAATCGGACTGACGTCGGTCGACTAGGACGTGATAACCTAAGCATAAGGAAACCTCAATCAGTCCTAGTACCTTCTTTTCAAAGATAATCAGGAGTTGTTCAGATAAAACACTTTCCAATAACGAAGACGCAGGTCAACGTAAGTTGACTTATCTTCTTAACTCAATACAATCATGCATACCACTCGTTCAGATCAAATCGACAAAGGTTGACTTCACTTGTCATCCAACGACGAGCCAACATGAGTTGACTTGACTTCAAATAACACTTATTAACAAAAGGATAAAAGCATGACTAACATGCAAAGCGACGCTTGAACAACGTTTGATCAAATCGTCTTC